AAAGAAAATTGGAGTTTACTAAGAAGTTCAAAAACATGCCGTTAAGTTTCTGGAAAAAGATACTATGGAGCTACGAATCATTAAAGTCATCTAATAGAGCGCAAAAAGGTTGGAGAAAAGCCGGAGAAGCCTGCAAATTAAGCTGCGTGAGAGGAACTGTCAAGTATGGTGGCGGTAACGTGATGTTATGGGGTTCAATGGCTCGGAAGAATGTCGGAAAACTCCAATTTATTAATACTATAATGGATCAGGCGCAATACAGAAACATTTTAAAGCAAAATTTGAAGTCATCTGCTTGAAAACTTCGGCTAGGATCTGATTTTACATTTCAGCAAGATAACGATCCCAAGCATAGTGCCACTAAAACCAAGGAGTGGTTGCTGAAAATAATGTTAAATTACACTACCAGAACTAACTATTAACAATATTAAAATAAAAAGAGTTTTTTCAATGAAAATACTTGGAATAATTTTTGACGAACATTTAAATTGGAAAAGCCAAATAAAGCTAGTCAAGAACAAAGTCTCAAAGACTTTAGGGATAATGTATAAGATTAAACCTTTTGAACTAAATATGTTTAAAAAATTTATATTTTTCGTTTATACATAGTCATATTAACTATTGTAATATTGCCTGGGCAAACAATCACTTATCTTTCCTAAAAACTATTTACACAAACAAAAGCAAGCAAGTCGATTAGTTTTGGGCATGGATAGATACAAAAGTGCCGAGCCGTTACTCAAGGAAATAAATGCCCTAAATGTATACAAATTAAACATCTACCATAACTTGTTATTTATGTTTAAACTTCAAAACGAATTAATTCCAAAATATTTTTATAAAAACTTCTCTCTTATTAATCATAAATATAAAACAAGACACTCAATAAATAATTATATATATATATATATATATATATATATATATATATATATATATATATATATATATATATATATATATATATATATATATATATATATATATATATATATAATATATATAGGTATATATATATGTATAAGTGTGTATGTATGTGTATATATATAACTATATGTATATATATATATATATATATATATATATATATATATATATATATATATATATATATATATATATATATATATATGTATATATATATATATATATATATATATATATATATATATATATATATTATATATATATATATATATGTGTGTGTGTGTGTGTGTGTGTGTGTGTATGTATGTGTATGTGTATATGTATATGTATGTGTGTATATGTATATATATACATATATCCTTCTTATATATATTCTTCTTGTTTCTTTTTGTTTGTCTGTTTTAATTTTGTTCAAAAAAAAATTATGAGTAGATGAACTTAAATCTATAAAATGTTCGGAATCTTTTTTAATTCAAAATATCTTTTGTATATTTAAATATATATTATGAAGTTTATTGGATATGCATACGCATATGTACGGATTTGTAAATTATTTTTTATTAAAAAATAAAAAATAATTTACAAAATTAAACTTTTTTTAATTTCACTCTCTTGTATATTATTGGAAATTGTAAAATTTTTATTTATTTTTATTTTCACGAAGGGCCTTGAGATAAGGCGTTTTGTCTTCTACTTGCCCCAGTCAGCTTGCATTTGTATTAATTTATTTGAATGTAAGGTTAACATTGTAATGTTGAGGTCTTGGAATGGCCCGCACAATCACTGGACCTTATTTCCCATTGAACATTTGTGGGAAGTTTTATACCGAAAAATTGCAGATCGGTCATTTTCCAAAAAAGATAACCTTAAAGTGGCGATCAAAGAAGCCTGGAAAAAGATTCAACTAGAAGAGACAAAATCTTTAGTCAAATCAATGCCTAGACGTCTAGAAGCTGTAATCCAAGCAAAAGGAGGCCCTACAAAGTGTTAAAATGGTTGTTTTGTTATTTAATAATTTATTACGGAACAAAAAATATGTTGGTCGGATAATTTTTTAAGACACTGTATATATTTTTGCTTTGTGTAAAAAAAAAACAAAAAAAAAAAACAACACAATAACTTAATTTAATTACTTTCATGCATCAAATAAACACAATAATTCTGGCATTTCTACTCATATTATGCAAAACATGTGTAATTTAGAGTTAGGCTCAACAATATACTTGTCGTTAGAGAGGATATTCAGTTTTCTTTAGACCAGAAACAGGATAGGAAAATGTATATATATCAGAGGTAGACAAAAAATGTTAAATATTTGTTAAAAACAGACAGGTTTGGTTGCAGAGAGTAAATAATATAAAAAATGTAGAATTGGAGATAGATCAAAAAAAAAAACCAGGTCCTTCTCTAATTGAGGTTTCTTTAGAATCTGATGCTGGTTGCTCTGCAACAGACTTTATTTTTCACAGGTGAAGATTCAGTCGATGAGTTAATTCAATATTCTGAGTCTACAGTAAAAGCCAAGGTAAACGAACAATGGTTATAAAATAAAATGTTGGTTTAATTTATTTTGAGTAAACTGAATTAAATTTCAATTAGTGTAGAAATATCATTATTATTCATTATTTAGATAATGATAAACATTATTCCTAATGATCTGGTGAATTGTCTCAAGTATCTGCTCAGTATAGGGTTGAAATCTGACCTCAAACCACAATCATGGCAACAATATGTTATATAACAATCAGGCGTGAATCTTGAAAATATTCCTAATTCCAAAAACTCCATCAAAAAAAATTCATTAAGATTGAAGATCTAGGTAAGAAATTGTTAGAAAAAAAAAGGCTAGGGTAAATAAAAATTTAATTACATAAGTTATAAAGTTACTTTGATTATAAGAAGACCAGATAAGGCAAGATATAATGGAAACTTTAAAGGAAAAAGATTTGCCCTGCACTTGGACAGCAAAAAAAGGTTGAGGAGAATATGAATACTACTGTTAAAAGAATTTCTGTTCTGTTGTAATGTTGGTAATTTCTTTTATTGTTACTTCACTAGGTATTAATAACACAAATGATATTTTCCTTGGAGAAATTAAAGCTGAAAACTTTAAAAGAGTTGACGAGGTCAACTCTAGATCTGATCAACTCTGATGCAAAGCTGTGACTTAATATAGATCATACTTTTTTTAATATTATCTTACTTACATAGTGCCACTAATTACTTATAAAGCTTATTACTTATTACAAAGGTTAAAAATAAAAAAAAAATAAAAAAATTATTTCCAGCTTTTGTAAATATTTAATAATTGTAAATATAAAAATGAAAAAATAGTTGTATTAGTTGGGAATATCTTACTATTTATTATATTATACAATATTAAATTTGAATTAACAGTAGTTTTAAAATTATAAATGATATTAAACAATACTTTTATTATGAAAACATATATAATATATGTTAAAAGCTATTTAAGTTATTTATTATTGATATTTCAGTGTATTTTATAGAGCTTTAAGATGAAAATGGCGATTGTTATAAACTAATAAACAATGAAAAAGATGACGAAATGATGCACATTCTCGTTCAAGCAAACACAGAATATTTCTACTGTTACACAAAAAAACATATTATTATTTCTTTGTTTTGTAATTTTAAACTTAATATTTTTATTGATAATACATAATATATATATATATATATATATATATATATATATATATATATATATATATATATATATATATATATATATATATATATATATATACACATTTTATCATCTTATCAATAGTTTACAAAATAATTTTAGTTAAGATATGACCGGAGAAGGTGAAAGATAAAAACCCGATAATGTTTGTTGATGTCGTTTTTTATTTAAAAAAAATCAAGCAAATGCTAAAAAGTACAATTTCAGTAAAATATTTATAAATTACATTATTTTTTACAATTATTATTATTATTATTTATTTTCTCCAAATCTAAATATAATATAGTTTAAGACTTCAAGTGATAAAAAAAAAAGTTGTTCTGTTTGTAGCCAAGGAGAGGAAGGATTGTATTTTTAAAAATTTTGAAACTTTAAAAGTATGAATTGAACTATTATTTACTATTTTTAGAAGAAATAAGTTATACAAATGTAGCCTTAAGTATCTTTTTGAGAATTCATTTAATTAAACAAATTTTATTAATCTTATTTTTAATTAAATTATGTGTTCTTTTTAACTTGTTTGAATATCGTATGCCTAAGAATCTAATAAACAGTGCCCAGTGAGAACAAAGACGGCTATTAGACATCTTTTTAGTTTGACAGACGTTTGAGACATCTAAGATAAAATTAAAACATCTAAAAGACGCCTTTTAGACGATAACATATAAGATGTCTTTTTTCAGACCTCTGTTGAACCCAATTGAGATATATAATTATTATGCAAACTTTTAAGACATGAGATAAAAAGAATTTTTAAGATAACCACACATTAGATGTTTTTTTTCCTCTATATTTTAGAAGTAGATGAGATATCTGATTTATATTCAAATCAACTAGGCTGTCTTTTTTTAGACACTAGTTGAGACGTTTTTATTTTTTAAACATTATTTACAAAAAATTTTCTATTTAGTGCAAGGCCTTCGAAAGAGAGGGGTAAAGGGGCAAATTGAACCGGGTGCCAAGCTTGAAGGGGCGCCGAATGACCCGTTGGTTTTTTTTTTTACTATAAATAGAAAACATTTTAATGGCTGATAATGTGAAACCTGCTTATTTGTTGAAGCCAAATAGAGAATCATAGCATCGTATTTGGGAAAATTTTGCGAGATCAGTTAGGAATGAAGAGCTCTCTGATAAGACAGTGAGGACTTCTTGGGGTACCTGAAAAAATTTAAAATTATTATGTTTTAAATTGTTATTTTTGCGGTTGCCAAGGAAATAAAACATAAGCTTATATTTTGTTTATAACGGTCTATTGCAGACGTATTTTAATGCATTAAATGGATTAAATTTGCTGGAAATAAAATAATTTTAGCTAAAAATTCTTCAAAAATAAATATTAAGGCAATAAAATAGTTTTTAAACAAAAGAAAACAAGAAGCAGCGAATGCAAACACTTTAACTCCAAAAACCTTAAGTAAAATGCAACTAATTTCTGTTCTTTTATCCAACTATTCTATTAAAAAAATTGTGTTTTTCAGTGAAACTCCGAATCTTTATAAATGAGGAGGTTTGATATCAAAATCTTTGTTTATAAACTAATTATAAATTGCAAAATATTTTAGGTGTTTCTAAAAAATGAATCGAACAATCTTCCGGTGCTCAAAACCGTGCTTAAGCTACTAAAAATGCAGCAAAAGAATCAAAAAAAATGTAGACAGACTTTAGAGGACATGGGATTTATAACCATAACATGTTATGGTTATAAATCGGTTTGCTTTAAATGCTTAAGCACGGTGCTTAAGCACGGTTTTGAGCACCGGAAGATTGTTCGATTCATTTTTTAGAAACACCTAAAATATTTGTGTTAACACAGACCAAAGAAAATGCATCTTTTTAAACACCCAATTAAGCGCTCCATTAAGTTGACTGTTTTTTGTATCGCATTTTTTTCTTTTAACAACTACTGGTATTAAGGATCCAATATAAGCAGCCGTGGCGCAGTGGTAGCACACTTGCCTCAGAAACGTAAGATCCGTGGTTCAAACCCCGCCTCTGGTCAAGTTTTGCGACATCGGTTGGGAAGGAGGCGTGAACTTCCTACTAAATGCTCTTCCACGGTGCTCTGTGATAAGACCGTAAGGACTTCTTGGGGCACCTAAAATCAACATAAAAAAGTATATATATATATATAATAATACCGGTGCTCCCAGTCAGTTCTTGAGGGCCAAGAGGAACCAATGAACTCTCCTCCTCTTTTAAGCTCACCTGCTACACTTAATGTGAGTGATTCAAAGAACTACAATAATTATTCGAAGAACTGTGCGGATCAGTGGGGGACCTCAAACAATTCACATGAAGCTGAGCTAAATGAATTAAAAAATGACTTATCATAGCTAGAATAAGGAAATTTATTCAACAGGGAAGAATGTGATGCTCAACCTGACTTGGTCTTTGTAGCCAGTTGTTTTGATTCAAAAAGATGTAATCATTTTAAATGGAACCTCTTCACATTCTTTGAAGCAACAATATTATCCCAGTGATTCTAAGAAGAGAATCTTTCCTTTCATTGTGTTTCATCAAATCTTTGGTATGGTATATTATTTATTTTGGTATGGAACTTAACCACCAAGAATCTCTACTATTTCCCTTGATCTTTCTTGGGCACCAATACAATATTCAAAGCCGGTAATTGAACTGTCCGTTTTTGTTTTAAAACTGAGAAGTTAGTAATTAATGGAAAAAACTCATATATTGTGTGAAGTAGCATCAATCCAGCCCATTGCAGTATTTATTCTACGTGAATTGGAAAGAGGCATACATTCGTCTTATCAGCTCTACTGTTATAGATTCAGAGCTCCAGAAGCGAATCAATTCTGACAGTTTAATGGAAGGAAAATTCTTCGTGGAATTTCGGATGTGACCATTTTCTTGGCTTCTAGAAATTTAGCTTATTATAAAGTTCTATTAATTCTAGTTTCAGTTATTTATATAACTGTTGTAATAATGTAGCTATAATTATATATAGAATTATGTTTGCCGGAGAAACAACACACGATAATGGGAAAGGAAAATAAAAACTTTTTTTGCCGGTATGAGGCTTATTGTTTTTCCTGATTTTTGAGGGTGAAAAATCATTAAAGTAAACTAATGATCGTAAAAAGTTCTCTCCGATCAACCATGAAGAAGATCGCGTTTCTGATCTTTTGATTATTTCGATTGAAGAAGATTTGGCTAAAAAGCTACAACAATGTCAACAATATTTGGGCGGCCAGAAATACTCAAAAAATTCATTTTTGATCGCGTTATTTACTTTTCTATAACATTTTGTTGATTGACTTTGAGTTTTAAAGCTAATATTTTGATTCATATGTCAGTTTCGATTGATGAAACGCTTCTCAATCAAGAGAAACGCAGAAATACAATGTGCTGTATCAGAACTGCTGCGTTTATAAAACTTTAAATTTTCTTCATTTTTTGACCTGGGCGCCATTGATGCTTTCCCAGGCCCTGAGTTGATGTCTATTTTCAAATGGCAGTTTTACTATTTATGCCTCTTAGTAATTATGGCATAAATAGTAAAATAACCATATTTAAAAAATATATACTTAAAAACATATATAAATCTAAATAAATAAGTAGAATAATCTAATAACTAATTGAACTAAAATAATAAGAAAGTATGATATAGTTAAAAATTAGGAAAATATAGAATAGTAACCAACATTGAGCATATATATTTATATTAGGGTTATGACTATTTATCAACCATATGCTCCTGTACTGTAGTTTGATGAACTTTTATCTAAAAAACACCAAATGAAATATTATTTGCATATCTTTTCAAAAAACTTCATCCCACCATTGAAAATTCAATTTTGACATAAGTACTACTATTCAAATGCATTTAGAATGTCATATTCATGTATTACAATAAAATTTCAATCCAGCAATGACTCAGACCGTTGAACTTGCTCTTGCTTGTTGCACAGAAGGAATAGGAGGTACAATTTGTCTTTATTTTTGCATGACTAATAAATTCCCTCCATTACTTTGATTGCACGCTCTGCACATTGATTACTTTTGGGTATCTGTAGTATGGATGGCTCTCGCTTTCAGTGATTTTTCAAATAGCTTAAAATCTTTTTGTATGGATTCAATATTTCAGTTATTAAAGTTGTTTTCGTAGTACAGTAAACCAATTGGTCTTGCCAGCCATACGATATAAATCGACATACTCTCTGCAGAACTGTCTTTGTTGAAGGAATTAAAATGAAGGCCAGGATTGTTAGTATAGCTCTGGAGTTCCTCCTCGCATTGCTGATGTTGGGTATTTTCTGAGACTTGATCAATGGAAAATTTCCCTTTTCGTCAAAATATTAGAACGCTCGAGTGAGATTAAACAAAAATTTCATATTATCACTCCAGCCTGATGTTTCGAGAATAACTTCTTTTCCGTTATCAAACTGTGTTTTCAGTTGTTTGTACGCCTTCAACAGTTGAGATACAAATGGAAATTCGATGTTTGGCGATTGTGTTTTACTTCCAAGTTTTTTCATCCATCCCCAAACGGACGATTCTATCTAATACATGGTGTTGACAACTGATAAACTAAGGTTTATTGATGCGTTTCTCTATAAACAGTCGTTGCAATATTACAACAACACAATTCTTATTTCCAGTGTTAACGCTGGTGGTATCTGCATTAATCATCTGTATTAAATTCTATAGGTGAAACTCATCGAGGAGTTGGCCTGTAGAGTATTCCACTGTTTCTTTGCTTTCAACTTGAAGGTGGTACTATCGCTTGTCCTCGGAAGATAACCATGTTCCATCCACTTTAGTAATATCAAAATTTTCATCAAGGTATTTGTAGCTTCCCCGCTTGACACATTCATTGTAGGGTAACGCGGGGCAAAATGAGACAGCGGGGCAATACGAGACAGTTCGCGTTTAACATAATGCTAGCCCTACAAATTATTATTTGCA